CAACACTTTTACACCCCAACAACTCAAGAATATCTCAATGCTTTTGTCCCTTTCATGCAGGAAAGGGTGGGTTTTTTTATGCCTCAATGGCTTCAAAAATGGAGCCAAAAAGTGTATAATCCTGGATTTTCGAGGTCCTGACGGCACCACCGCCATTACTCGACGGTACCACTACCTGACACCTGACACTAGACGGTACTACCGCTCAATTTGGGTGGTACCACCGCCTGACAGAGCTTGGAGATCGAGCTCTGGCGGTACTACCGCCTTACAGGGGCAATACCACCATTGGCATCAATAACTACCGGCGGTGCCACCACCCAATCTAGGCGGTGCCACCGCCCAGTCACCTGGGGTGCTGCTTTCCAAGCAGTGCCACCGTCGGCCAGGAATTCAGCATCATGGTTGGGCCTTGACTCCGGCCCAAACCATCCCAACTCCAAGCCCAATTGGCCCATAACAGAGTTGTTGGGATTACCTCCTAAGTCAATTCTAATTATCGTTCTAACTACAATTAAGGCAAGCATGGTCCGGTATGTCGATTTTTCACTTCGGCGATCTTTTGACGATCTTTTCGATGAGTCTTCCGGTGAGCTTCCGGCGAACTCCCGACCAACTCTTAGCTAGTCTTTCGGCTTGCTTCCGATGATCTTCCAAAAGCTTTCGGTGAGTCTTCCAACGTACTTCCGGTGACGATGAACTCTCGGCGAGCTCCTGGTATATCGTCCGAGTCTTCAACTTCGGCCCATCATCTGCTTTACGCCTTACTACTATCGTAGTTAATCCTACACACTTATCTCAACACATGGATTAGATCAAATAATTTATCAATTGATTTCATCATCAAAATCCAAGAATCTCCAAAAAATCATAAAAATAATCTGTAATATTCATAAAATATATACAAATGTTAATAATTTAATAAGAAATGATAATATATAGATTTATCATAAAATTTATGTATCAGAAAAATAATGATAATTTCTTACATAATAAATAAAATCATGCATCGGCCATATGCAACACATACATAATAATCAAATAATAAAGATGTACATCACAACAACAGATAGAGAGGCAAACTATTAGGAACGAGTCAGCACTAAGAGATAGAGAGGCAAACTATTAGGAACGAGTCAGCACTAAGAGGGGGGGTGAATTAGTGCAGCAATAAAAATGTTGGTTTGAAATTTTCGTTTCGATTATAAATTGATTTCGGAAATGTGCTTGACTTGAAAGCGTGTTCGTAAATATTTTGAAGGCAGTAAGCAAGTAAAGTAGTTTGCAATAAAGTAAATTGCTCAAAAATAGAAATGCAAACCAGAGAAGAACACGCCAATTTTATAGTGGTTCGGTCATCTGACCTACATCTACACCCGATACCTCCTCCAATAAGGTCACCAGCTTCTACTATTGATCTTTCTCGAAAGGGAAAGATCAATCACCCCTTCATAGAACTTTCACAAGTGGCTCACTCTCCTTTACAAACTTTAACACTTAGAAATGATGGAGGTGACTCTCAACTTTTGTAAGCTATTTCACTATAGTTTTGGATCAGTTATTATCACTTCTCTTGCCTTACCAGCTGAGAAGCAAGGGGTATTTATAGCCCTCAATTGGCTTCAAAATTAGAGCTAAAAAAGGTCTCATCTCAGGTTTCCCAGGTCCTAGCGCTACCATTGCTTGTGCTGGGTAGTACCATCACTTGCAGCACTAACACTAGGCGGTACCACCATCTAAAAGACTGTGTTTGGGTGGTACTACCGCCCAGACTAGCAGTACCACCACCTAACACTAGGCGGTACCACCGCCTAACACATTTCGAAGATTGTGCCACGACGGTACCACCTGTTGGGTCACTATTTGGGCCTTTTCAATTGGCCCAACACAACCTAATCTTAGGCCCAATTGGGCCCTAATTGAGTTAGCTCAATTCCAACTGAATTATGTGCTAACTATGAATTCTAAGATATTTACTAAGCTTAAATAAGTTCGTAAGTCTAGTTTTCTTCCGGTGAGCTTTAGACGATCTTCCGGCGAACTTCCGAGGATCTCTCGGCAATGTTCCAACGGACTCCCGGCAAGCTCCTAGACTTCACCACGATCTTCTTAGCGAGTTCCGATAAGCTTCTTTGGCAAGCTCCTAGACTTCTTGGTCAATTTCGACAGAACTTCCGATGAACGTCCGGACTTCCGACGAACTCTCGAACTCCTAACAAAATCGTGTTCTTGACTTCGGGACTTCATTTTGCTTTATGCCTTTCTATTATAGTTAATCGTGCACACATAAAACCTACTTCGATCTAAACAATTATTACAAAGCCTAAATCAAAGTTGTCCGGCATATCATTGGTTTATCGACGTTTCATCTGATTCTTTAGTGCATCATCCACTCTTGCGGCCTATTGTCCAATCAGCCAGTTGACCTCTGCAACTCTGGTTTCCTTAGTGGAATTTCCGCTATTCTTGGCCTGATACCCGAATTTAAGACCCGAAGCCTTCTACCGATACGTCGACCGATTCTTCGGCCCGACGTCCAATCTTCTGATATGTTTGCTCCAACCCAATGTCTAATTCCTCCTGCTTTAATCAATTTACCTTTTCTGATCGAAGATAGCCCTACGTTACTCAAAATGCTCATTAGATCACAAATACATCAATTGGTTTCATCATCATAATCCGAGATTCAACATAAACTCTATGGGATGGATTCCTCCCAACAATGGATGGAGTGGTATCCCTCATATGCCCAAATGGAGACACATTCCTCCTAACAGTGGATGGAGGAACCATCTAACTATCACATCTAACGACCTGCTAATCTTCGAAGGGAATCGTCATACCCGCCCTCAATAAGAATACATAAACATCCATGATCATTCATTTATATTAATCAATTCATTCACGCATGCATCCAAAAAACCAATATGATCAAATATTATGAGAGAGACCATGCTTGATGTATGATCCGCTAGACTATGTTCATTAGTGGCTATGCACTATGATGGGTATGCAGCTCCTTTCATAGGTTGCATTTTCAATGTGAACCACTAGCCTAGTCACATCTACTACATAGTAACAATTATATCAATATCATAAACTTAAGAAAAGTAAAAAAATTAATAATCATTTTCAAATGATATCTTTATATAAAACCTTAAAGTTTAAATTATAAAGACATGAAATATCAATTCTTAATATTGCCTCAATCAACCAAAACCCTAATTGGAATAGCTAAATTAACTTAAACCAAACTCAATTCAATTATGATCTAACATAACGAACCTCAAATCCTTATAGAATTGATCTGAAATCATTTTAGATTGGTCTAATTTAGATTTGATTGATTTCGATTATGTCAAGTAGGTTTGAATTAGTCAAGTTAGTTTGGAATCACCTTAAATTAACTTTAACCGATTAAACCTGTCTAATTCAATTAATTCATGAGCTTAAACCAATAAGGGGAGAGAAAATCAGACTATATCGTATAGTGCTAACTTAAACTGAATCGACCCATCTGAGTCTTGAACGGGTCACGTATGCTGCACATGTTTATCCTAAGTTGAGCTAAGGTACAACAAGTTGGATAAAGGAGCAACGAAGTGTCTAGTGCCAATCGCATAGTTGAGCAGGCTTAACATCATGGACTAGGCTAAGCCTCACTCATAAGTTGGGCTATGCCTTATCACTAAACTAAGTCATGCTTGGCTCATGGGTTGGATCGTGCTTGGACACATGAGTTGGAGTCGTGTTTGACCACATAGATTGGGCCATACCTAGCCGCTTGAGTTGGACTATGCTTGGTCACATGGTTGGGTTATTATACCTTGCCACATGGCCAGGGTCCATGGCCATATGGACTGGATCATACTCGATCACATAGGCAAGGTCATACTTGGTCACATAAGTTAGATCGTACCTTGTCATATGGGTTAACTCCAATTTGGCCACATGGGCTGGGTCATAACTAGTTATATGGGTTGGGTCGTATACGATCACATGGGCTGAGTCGATCCGGTTTGATAGATGAATCTAGCTTAAGTTAGATCCCAATTAAACTCTTTTTATCAAATTAGATTTTAATATTTTAAATTAGTAAAGAATAACTCAAATCCAAGAATTAAAAAAAATTAAATTCATGATCTTAAATTTAAAACTAATTATATCATAGAAATTCACATATAATTCTTGAAACATAGATATATCTAATTAAATAAATTAGAATTATTATATTAATCCAAATATAAAAATTTTAATAAGTAAATCAATATTAAAATTCATTTAAGCTGAAAAGATCAGTATAAATCAAATAATCATTCTAACATCACAATTCAATTATCATTATTTATTAATCATAAAATTTTAAGATTTAAAATATTATTAAAGAAAGAATCCTAATTAAAGCTAAGTGAGGAATGAAAGATAAGATCTTTCCGATATATAAATAATAATTTAATTTTTATTTTTAATTTATTTTTATTTTACTTTCACACAAAAAAATAATATTCATTCACATACGAAAATAGAATGTGAATTATTTATTTCCTAAAAATCAAATAACTAATTAAGAAATAAAATTAATTAATAATTTAATTAATTAATAAAAATTACTAACTTATCTATATGATTAAAAAAATTAAATTTAATCATTTTCTTAATTATAATACACAAACATGACTGTTATTAATAAAATAATATATTATTTATAATAATTAATTTATGTTAAGGAAGAAAATATTGATGATTACAATTTGTTCTTTTAGAAATTTTTATTATAAACTTAATATGTGATTCTCACACGTAAACTTAAAATTAAGACATATTACTTATATAATAATACATTAACAAATTCGGATGAATGTTATAGCCGAAAAACTTGATAAAAAGGATGCACAGATTGCTTCCCCGACTCTGGCACAACTACGTTCTCAACAAGACAAGATGAATCGTGATTAAAGATCGAGCTGCCAAAAACAAAGCACTTGATCTGAAAACAACAACAAAAAAAATCAAAATCCAATAGATAATTTTATGGTTCAAATATTACCCACGCAAACAATCAAATACAAAATATCTGAAAACATTGTTTTGGAAAGCTTAGTAAAGCTTTCGTTGCCGTCTTTCTTAGGTTCAAATGATACACAAGTAGGTTACTTCACTCCTGCAAGCAACAGACAACACAGTCTCCACAGGTAATTAACAATTGATGATAGGGTTCCTGATAACCTCCCCGTCCTTCCCTGATGCTTAGCCCATTGCATATTTCTGGGTCCAGCTCCTTGCAGTGGCCTCATACTTGGCTCTGTCTGTCTTGTACATATGGGCAATCTCTGGAACCAACGGGTCATCAGGGTTTGGGTCTGTTAAAAGGGAGCAGATAGACAACAGTACCTGTCGAAGCACACATTACGGCTTGCTTAAGCTCAAACAAAATATTTTTCAAATGATTGACAAGATAGGAAAGAAAAAGAAAAAGGATATTCACAAGCTCTTGATGGAACCATAGACACAGTTACTTTGTTTGGACCGACCAACACGGGTTGTACCTGACATCTCCTACTTGCAGGTTAGCACTTAGTAGTGCCCCTTGATTTGACCAAACCAGGCTCTTGGATTTGCTTAAATTGCTCATTTCTCTGAGCTTTTCTTAACAGGACTACTAGCAGTTATAACTCTAATGAATTGAGGATGCTGAGGTTCCAACTTAGTAAATGACATTGCAAAGCGAGGGAGAACAGTAACCTTGGAAATAGTTAATGCTGGACTCCATTGCTCCTTCAAAATGTCAAGGCAGATGCTTCCATTGCTATTGATGTTTGGATGGAAAACCTTGGTCCTGAAAGAAACCTGCAGAACACATAAGTTAGACAAATGGCATAGTTGACTGCTGAAACTTGTCCAGTGACAAATACAACCAATTGTAACAAAATATGGTTATTCAAGTTAGTGAGATGTTCTTCAAGATAAAATAACGGCATTATAGGCAAAACACATCTTAAGCCCACATTTGGTATGATAATAGATTTGTATTCTTTTGATCCTTAGTTGTATTTCTCCGCCGGTCACAGTCAAGTGATGGTTCCTCGTCATGTTCTGTCATCATCTATGGCTGTGTAACCTATCCGATAATCAAGATTTATCCTGATTTATTGGTATTACATCCCAGCTCAAACCAATAACCCAAATGTATTAGTTTTAAGAAATTTAAATTCAATCTTAAGTCACAATTAAAAAGATTAAAGATATACAATAATAACAAGAAGGTAGAGGAGGAAGAAAAGAGGACCAAGAGGTAGTGATGCGTATAGAAGGTGGTAGCAGTGACAATGTATGGAAAAGGTGGTGGTTGTGGTGGTGGTGATGCGAGGAGATGGAGACAGCAAGTTGCAAGATGGTGAAGGATGCGGAAGCAATAATGCGAGAGGTGGTGAAGGATGTAGAAGCAACAATGCGAGATGCCGACAAAAGAAGAGGAGAGGAGCTGGCTGACCGTTGTTGAAATCTGTTAGGAACAGTTGACAACTGTTAGAAGTTGTCAATAGCAGCAGACAACCATTGTTGCTAATAGGTATCAACAGCCCTGCTCAGAATGTCTAAACCATTTTTTAAAAAATCTCAGAATTATATGAGATGGTGGGTTTACTGTCAAATACAGTTTGGTATCAGTTAGCTGACTGCGATGGGCTCAGTAAGTTAAACTTCACAAATAGTACACCTGATGTACTAGTCAACCATTCTACAAGTAAATCCCAATTCAGCATCAACCAGAACAACCGGCAAGTCATGTAATCGCAAACATTAGCAAAAATCAATATATAATATGAATAGGTGATCATGTTTATGAAGAATTCTTCAAAGAGTGAAAATTATAGAACATTTGCCAAAAGAAAACTTGATGACAGAGTGTCAATGTTACCTTAGGTGGTTTGAAAGGATAGTCTGGAGGAAAATGTATAGTAACTAGAAAAACACCCCCCGCGTAGGGACTATCAGATGGACCCATTATTGTTGCTTGCCAATGAAACATGTCTTCAGCCACTGGACCTGTAAAATGTGAATGCATGCAAGATCTTGCTATACAATAAAGGATCCTCATTTAAAACCTATACGAACTCAGGCTTTACAACAATGGTAAGATTTCAAAACTAAATAGACTAACTAGCCAACCACATTTACAAAGTACACTAGCATGTCAAAAGGTTTGGTGCACATATCATGCTTTTATCAACTTAAAATCCAGAAACTACCAATCATTATACAAGAAAGAACAAAATGACAGTAGAAAACTAAAATGTATACAAGCATATTAAAGTCATATGAAAATATGATTATTAAGACTCAGTTCATTAAACAATGTACAAGGATGTACCGAATATGACAAAAATGACTTGACATAAGGCATCCTTGGATGAGTTCCACCCTCTTGCAAAGTACATTATGTTATATCCTTTATACAGCAATTAATTCAACCAAGCTTCTGATAGTTAGCAAGGTCCAATCATATTTGACTCTTTTGGTCCAGTAGTTGTCATGAAGTTATGTATAAACTCAATATAACACAGGAAAGCTGATAGGAATATTTACAATCTGATGCTTGGACTTGGCTATTTACATCATCACATCTGAAACTATCTTAAAGTACGTTTTTATTATCTTAAACTATCTTATAGGAATATTTACAATCTGATGCTTGGACTTGGCTATTTACATCATCACATCTGAAACTGTCTTAATGACTGTGTCGTGCTTTTATGAGCTCTCTATTTCTAGTTTCTCACTTTCTCTCTTGTTTAAGTTCTTTTCTATGTTTATCACTTTATCTAGCACATTAGAAGACAAACAAAAAAGCCTAAACATCAGATTATATGGACGGTGACTAGGACAAGGGACTTGCAGCTCGAACGTGGCCGGGATAGAGCACCTAGTTCGCAAGCGGTCCAAGAGTTGTGTGGCCATTATTGAGTCCCAATCATACGTGTTTCTTATGGACTAAATCCCGGAGGATCTTCAAGTTCACTAGGATCGACTCTCCCGATGAAGGAGAGGTCAAAACTTCCTCCTTCCCTCGCCCTTGGGCTCTCTGAGGATGGAGCACCAACCTTCTTGACCATTTGGCGACAATGGAATCAAGAGGAGCATGTGCAAGAAAAGAAAGACATCTTAACCTACATAGGTAAAAGTTCTTAAGGATCGAAGTGCTGGAAAGCTGAGGTGATGGAGAGCCAATGCGCCTGAAGACTGAGACACCCAAGAACCGACCTGCCTTCAAGAAGAGAACTAAGGATCGACTCGCTTTGGAAAGGAGGACCGACGCTAAGAAAAGAAAGCTCCTAAGGAGATTACGAAGGCTCAAATGAGAGAATGAGCCTCACCCCCATGGCCAAGAGGGATTTATAGGGTGGGGATCAACTTCTCACCTCTCACATTGAAGACAAGTGTCCCTTTGGATCGGATTCGAAGACACACTGATTAATGAAGGGACACCTCGGAAGGTTCGAGCACACCTAACGTGTGGAGACTACCTTGAAAAGCACAAAGAAACCCACCACTCGAGAAAACTCGACCTGCGTAAAACAAACCTATCGTGGTGGGAGGCACAAGATGAAATGTGCCCGAAGTGCATGAGTCGGGAAACCCAACCTATGTGAGAAGAACCTCGCTACGACGAAAGGCACAAGACGAAATGTGCTTGAGACGCGTGGGTCGGGAAAACCCAACCCGCGTATGAAACCCACCACGAAGAGAGGCACAAGATGAAATATGCCTTAAGCGTATATGAATCAGGAAAACCTAACCTGCATGAGAAGAAACCCGGTACAGCGAGAAGCACAAATGAAAATGTGTCCGACGTGCATGGGTCCGGAAAACCCGACCCCACAAGAAGAAGCCTGCCATGGTAGGAGGCACAAATGAAAAAGTGCCCGACATTCGTGAGTCTGAAGAGGGCCCCCTTGGAACCCGAGGTGCTCGAGGAAGAGATGTCAGAAGGGGTCGGGCACAGCGCCATCCCCCACCTCTTCCAAAGGTGAGGAGGTTGGGCACCGATTGTTGTTCCTTCCAAAGGTAAGGAGGTCAATCGCTAACCCCCACCTCTTCCCAAGGTACGGAGGTTGAGCGTGGCAATGACCTCTATTCCTTCACAACAAGAGCAAGGTCTACAAGCCATGGATGGATTCAAGGTGGACTCCTCCCGTGGCTAGCCTCGGTGACAAGTAGAAGGAGGGCTCCTCCCACAACCCCCCTCGGCAACGAGCAAAGGAGGAGCCCACCTCGACGCCTCCCATAGCTCGCCACAACAATAAGCAAAAAGGAAGATGGGGTAGGTCGGTTACATGGGATCTTCGCAGCATCCTTGTTGCAGACTTACATAGGTCCCTCGATGGTCCCATAACGAACCCATTGCCCAATCTTGGTCCCTTGACGATCAGCAGATGAGATACCCTCCTTGGCTCTTCCCACAACCTGCCTTGGTGATGGACAACAGAGGAGCATGCCTCAGCTCCTACAACGAGTCAACCGAGAGCAAGCTTCCTCTACTCGAAGTTGGTCTCTCGACAGATCAAGTAGGTGACCAAAATCCAGTCTTCTATATAAGCACGCAACAACACATATTGGGCAACGATGAGCGCTGCAGCATCTCCACTGTAGATTGACGACCAACCCATGGCCTAACGAGGACCTCACAATATCCTTGTTACAGATCAGGCGATGATATGGGCAAGATCTAGTTGAGCCACTTCGGACCCGCCACGACCTTCTTCGAAAGCCTCTAGGATGACAGGATCAGAGTCCTACAACTCTTGCCCGAGTTAGAAGAAGAGGAGAGGGAAAAGGAGCAAGTCAACGATGACCAACTCCCACCTACCGATACAATACATCGTGCGATGATGAATGATGTCCCTGTAGCAAATTGAGCATGCCAACCATATCCTCTATTACTCGAAACAGGCATCTCGATGGCTCCCCCACCTCTGCATGGTACACATGTCGGATAAGCTGCTAGCTGCACTTCGAGGCCTCTTAGGAAGAGTTCCCGAAATGCACATTGAGAGAGACAAATGATAGAAGAATATCATCGACCAATTATCATCTAACACATGGCGACCAAGATGGCATAAGGGAGACAAGACTTACCCCCTTGGTTAGCCCGTATGGATATAAGTCCAAAACAGACGATTGTGGGTTGCCTCCTCCTTTGTCGCCTACATGGACAAAAGGATAAAGGTAGACTATTAAAGATGGTCGAGGGTTGCCTCCTATAGAATATTTCGCCCCTCAACTTCCCTTCTACAATCAGGTGTAAAAACTCACTTTAGCACAGTTACCAAGGGAGGATCACTTTCACCATTCATGACTACACTCACTTATCTCGGATTACTAACTTCCACATCAAAGGGACAGAGCTAGGAAAACTCTCCTGACCTCAATCTTCGTGCAGATGACATCTCGAGCACTCAACGTTTCCACTTAGAAGGCACCTCGGCCACACTTCGAACATCCCTACGCACATGAGTCAGAACCATATCGGGCTGATAAGAACATCAACAACATCTTCCCATAACACCTCTACCATCCAAACAAAAAAAAAGTTTGATTGGTAAATGACTCTTCTCTCACATAAAAGAACATATACATCGTCTTCTGACGTAATGGAGCTCAAGCATGAGGGAATTCCCAAAGCACATGATTAGTTTTGCCTACTCAAGTGCCGTCGAAGAAACTTTCATCCAAACAACATTAAACAATTCACGTCGTACCTTTCCATATGCAAATCCAATCAAATACCAAATCAACAGTTTGAGATAAAATTTTCGTTTAAGTAATAAAAAAAGCAATCTTCTTCAAATCATTTCATCCTAAATCGTCAATTTGTGATTGCAATGTACTCATAAACATAAACAATTGCATAAGCACAGTTTCAGCCTACTATATCCATACGTCCAATCGATTGCCTTCAAGCCCAACAGAGGAGATAGAGGAGAAAAGGAATTTGAGCAATTGGAGTCGCAAAACACCAGAAAGACGACACCTTTTCGGATAGAAAACTATCAATAATCAGATCGAGATCCATAACCCAAATCGACTTCATACTATAAGGTAAAAACACGGAGGCGAAGGATGGGGCATGGGAGGCGTCGAAATCCCAGATACCTGCGCTGCAAGACGTGGGGGGATCCTTCTGCAGATCCTTGAGCTCCTTGAGGATCCGCTTGGAAGCCATGGCGGAAGACCTGATCCTGAACCCCCGCAAGCCCCAACAAGCAGAGAGCAATTAGAAGAACAAAACAACAGATAGGAACTAAGAAATCAATCCAAAAGAAATAGAGAGATGAATCAGAGAGAGGGAGAAGCGCTACCTGCGGCGAGATTCTCGGATTCCTCTCCTGCCTTCAACTACGGGGAGCTAGGGCTGGTGCTGGTAATGGTATTAGGTCCCGGCGGTCGTCTATGGGCCATAGTATTTGGACCAATGTAGTTTTCTTGGCTCGGCCCAAGTAATAATTAATGCCCCGATCGTGGAACCAAGCTCGGCTCATCTGTCCATGTTACTTGCCTCCCTCTCCTTGGTCCACCCCGATATCGTCCTCCGTCTCCTCTTCCTCCCTCGATCGAGAGCTGTTGCATCCAACCGAAGATGAACGACGCCGATGTCTCCAAGCAGATCCAGCAGATGGTGCGGTTCATCCACCAGGAGGCCGAGGAGAAGGCCAACGAGATCTCCGTCGCTGCTGAGGAGGTGCCTCCCACGATCCCTTGTCCTAGATCTTCTCGGACCTCTCCCAATTGCTTGTTTGCCGGTGCCAATTTCGGCTCTTGGTTTGGGTTTGGTGAGAATTCTTGAGCATGGCATCTTTGCTGACCCTTCACGGACACTTTAGGTGTTGTTGATGTTGTCCTCGGCTCGTCTTTGGGGTTGAATTGTGTGTTGTCATTAATCAAATTACACATAGCGACAGAGAGGATCGGCCTCCTTGATCGGATGGAGAGGGTTTTTCGGAAGACTGCAATGAAGTATCAATCAAAACTGCCCATAAAATTGTTAGTGCTAGTATCAATCAAAAGTATAATATGCTGATATTCTAAAGTTTCTCCAACTTTTATAGTTTACGGATTAGAGTAATCGGCTAATGCATGCACTGGATTCCGGTTCCGATTCAATCATCAGAAGTTGCCCTTGTTTATATCAGTGCTCCCTACTCCACTTTTCATCGTAGTGTCAGCACAAATCTTTCGTTGATCTTTCCTTGAATTCTTCTAGGGTTAGTCTTCGGGTGTTACAGTTTCTATTGGGAATAAACGAGGCGGGTGGCTTGTTGATAATCGTTCAAATCTGTTCTGATATTCTAGCATTGTAGAAATCTAATGAATTTTAGCGAACTGCCCATCAACATTCTCATATTCATATGGTCCAAAGCGAACGAAAATCCCTCTCTTGAATTGCTCTCACGAGGGGACCCCATGGCAGGTTTTGTACCACGAGAGGATTGCATCTCTATATAGTTGAATTGAAGTTATTTCCACCTTGGATTCTTCTGGAGTTCTGTGAAAATAAAAAAAAAATTCTACACTAGAGATTCAACTGGTCGGATCTCCATCTTCCCATCTTGGAAATTCCACCTTCATACGTGGGTAGTTTGTGTCATATTCTTGGTTCCTTTTTCCTTTGTCTCCAGATCGGTTCAACGTAAGACTTGAACTTTCATCTTGCTGAAACTTGCTAAAGCTCTCCAACAGGCTCCTTTTGAAATCATTAAGGGTTTCCTACAGTCGATTCTCAATCCTAGTTTCCAAGGCTTCTAGTTAGGCTTTTATTAAGTTGTCGGTAGCCATTGCATAAGACTACAGATCTGTAATCCCCAACTCCTATTTCTGGTGTCGGGTCAAGGGCATCAGCACTGCCCTATTCGATGCTGTTGCTGTGACACCACTTGGTGGCAGCGCTGTGAGAGTGAAGAGTTGCTGCGAGGATGCCGATGAAGCCCTAGGCACCAAGAGGTTGGGAGGCGATGATGGTGGCACAGTTGGGAGCAACATCGCTGAGGGCTCGCCGCGGTCACTACGTGGAGGGTCGCTGCTGTTGAGGGCTGGGAGGCAGCGATACTCGCTGCGATCTCTGCGTGGAGGGATTGCTACTACTGAGGGCTAGGAGGCAGCGATGGTGGTGCGGTTGGGAGCGATCGTGCGGTTGCGATGGGACTAGACGCTAGCGATCACGCGGTTGGGATGGGCACTGGTGATCCTGGTCCAGGGCGATGAGGGGTGGTACGTTGGCTGGCAGGGAAGAAGAAGGATGTGGGAGCGTGGAGGGTCCTTGCGAAAATCGTAGCCTTTGTGCGACGGTGTTTGTAGCGAGAGCAAAGGAAACAAAGATGAGTCGCAGGGGAAGAAGGGAGGAAAGAAGAAGGGGTCAACTAGGAATCCATCGCAATTGCATGGTTAGTTAGCAGCGGACGCCGAGCGATTGCGAGCGATCGAGGGCTGAGGCTGCGACAGCTGCTGAGGGCTGGGAGGCGCATTTCTGGAAGGAGACACTAGCAATGTCGTCTCCGACAAAGGCGCGACTAAGGACGACTACGGCGGAAGGTGGGATGAGGGGCGGTTTAGGGCGACTGCGATGGGATGAGGCGTGACTGAGGGGCGGGAATGCCGAGGGTTAGGAGTAGCGGTGGTGGCCCTTTCTCGCTTGAGTGGGATGGGGCGGCTACTAGCTTCTTCTTTTTTTTTCTTTTTTTCTCTTTTTTTTTTTTATGATGATGATGATGGTTGCATCGAAGTGTTGTAAGAAATTGCAGTGAGAATGCCGAGGATTGTTGTTCTGATACCAGATGATAAGACTCTTAGGGTTTTATCATAGAAGAAGAGAGAGAAAAGGGATGATCACTTTGAGAGGATCGGCCTCCTAGGGTTTGTCAAAAGATTGAAATAATATTTCATTAATAGATGAAAAGAAACAGATACATCCTTATTTATAGAGTTCCACCCTTGAGTCCATCAGGACGTGGCCTCTTAATAAATAAATAAATATCAAATAAATCTCTATCCAACTCTTACTGAACTAGACAAACTCAATAAAACATTATTCAAAGCTCAGAAAATAAATGGATCCTAACAGCTTCCTGATATGTTTGTTTGGTAGCTCTTTGTGCTTATCAAAGGGGCATCTTTTCAAGCATTTTGGAATGCTTCACGGATTTCTAGATGATATCTGTTTTTATATTCTATGGGTTCTAACTTTGATTTGGTTGTTTGTATTGATCTTCCACAATAGGTGTATAACTTTATATTCAATTCTCAGGCTTTAGGTCGCATAGAGAACAAGTTTGATTTGCATGTTATGCTAAGAAGATCTCGCTTTCAGAAGACCATCAATTTTGTTATGGTTCCCTTTAATTTTTAGAGTAATGCCCCGTCGTTCTTCCTTCTTTGAATGAGATTTTGCATGAAGAGAAGAGTCCTATACATAGATTTTGTATGCAGAAAAGTTTCTTATTAATGTTTGTGGCCTGTTCTTATGGCCTTTCTGCATAGCTGCATTTGTGGTCTCACTTTGTATTATTTTTTGTGGGTACATCACTCTTCGAAATGTTTCGCGTTGTTCAAGACTTTGTTCCATGCATTTTGGGTTTTGCAGGAATTCAATATCGAAAAATTGCAACTTTTTGAGGCTGAAAAGAAGAAGATCAGGCAAGAATATGAAAGGAAGGAGAAGCAAGTAGAAATTCGAAAGAAAATGTAACGTGTTTGAACTTTCTTCTTTTGTGTGCAATTATTGTTTGTCATTAACTGCCAGCATAAAGATCTCTGAATAAGTTGTCATTTTGATTTGTGTTATTTTACACTCATTGTGCGATATTACTTTTCCCAATCCACCAGTTCAGCATACAGGAAGGTGCACCGCTTGTCATCATTAAAAAATTTAAAAAATAATATCGGACTGGTACCATTTTGTCTTGTGATGGAGTGCTTTCGCTCACGATCCATCTTTAGTTAACTCAAATATGAGGTGCATATAACAGAGACAACTTCAATAGTAGAACTAAAAGATGAAACCAAGTAAAGCAGTAAGTTAACATGATTACTTTACATCCTTGAAGAGCCAAAGTCATAATTATCAATCATAAATCTGAACAATGATACTAACATCCCACCTCGTCTTTGGTTTTGAATTGATCTGAAGTCATACTTACTCTTATTCTGAATGTCGTATTTTTGTTGAGTTCATATATACAGAGACTGTGTGGGAACTTATAAAATTATCAATAACTTGAGACCAACTTAAAAATGAAGCTTGTGGATTTGTTTTGAAGAAACTCAAACTTGTTATCCATTTAAGAGTTCCAAATTGACTTCATGAAATTTTATTACTTTCGTCATGCTTGATGTCTCATATCTATACGTAATAATGAGTAAAGTCTGCTCTAGTGGAAAGTGTAAATGAATTATCTTTCACATGATGCCTATGTATTGAGGCCATACATAAGTTAGATATCAGGTTATCCAAATATGTATATGAAAGGACAGCCTAGTGCACAAGATTCCTACCAATGCAGATTTATGGAGCTTTAATTGTAAAATGACTGTTTCATTGACTCAGATCAATAAACATGTGAATGATAATATGGGCTCTACAAGCTTCACATGATTATGAATGCATGTACACAAGCACAGTCCAGATATTTGTGATAAAGCTCATGTTGTACATTGCTACATTCTATATTTGATTATCACTCATGTTTTGACAGTGCAATATATTGTTCTGGCCAGTGAGTACTCCATGCAGCTGAATGCTTCTCGTATAAAAGTTCTTCAAGCACAGGATGACTTTGTTAACTCCATGAAAGAGGCTGCTGCAAAGGAGCTCCTGCTTGTCAGCAATAACCATCAATCTTACGAAAAGCTTCTGAAAGACCTAATTGTCCAGGTTCAAATAATGTCGCAATATTTTTTTTATGTGTTTCCTAAAGTGGATGTTGCAGAAAGTGGTTCTCATAATTGATAAATGCTGCTTCATATACTTCATGTACTCTGATGCAATCTAGGCACTATCTCAACTTTTTTGCACTTGCTTAATTTTATTGCAAAGAAATGTCTCAAACACATACTTTCGAGGCATTAGATACTGATTTTACCGATCAGTTTGACAATAATGTTATGTTCCTTCATTTGTTGATTTATCTTTTGCCACCTGTTATTTTTTTCACAGAAATGATTAATTGTTGTCCTTCAGAGTTTGCTAAGATTGAAAGAGCCAGCTGTTCTGTTGCGTTGTCGCAAAGACGATCATCATCTTGTGGAATCAGTTTTGAATCCAGCGAAGGAAGAATATGCAAAGAAAGCAAATGCTCGTGCTCCCGATATTGTCATTGACAATAAAATTTTCTTGCCACCACCTCCTGCTCATGCTAATGCTCATGGCCCCTATTGGTAATATATCTTTCATCAAAATTACATGTTAACTTACT